ATTGGGTTTGAACACAAATTAAGGATATAAAATCTATATATGACCAAACTCTAAAAATTGAATATCAGCAAGACCAATTTTACTCGTTGGGTTCCGTGGTAGAATTTGTAGAATAAGAACTTCTCAGACTCCCACGAAACAATCTTGTCCCTTTGTCCCCAAATAAAAGTGTAATTTGCCTTTTCAGATGGTTTTAGGAAGGTGAATCTAAAATAAACATATATTATAATGGTGAAATGAGACTTTTATGTATGGACAAAATTTTGGGTAAATGGAGCTTATATTTGGGGAAAAAGGCGAGTTACAAAACTAAATAAGTGCAATAAAAATGATTGTACTACGTATTGTATTTTCATGTCCTCTTGTTTAATAAGGATGAGTTAGGATGTTAATTTTTGGGTTGTTGCTCCATTCTTTTATACTTGCATTTTGATAATCATTGTACTTGGTAATTGTAAACTCATTGTTCAAATATTTTGCTCTAATTATTAGTATCATTAATACATTCATTTTATATATACTTCCTTTGTTTTTAACAGTTCGACTTGCTTAGTCACTTTGAGCCGTTTTACAAACTTAGACTCACTTCTAGTTTATCCCTTTATTGGAAAACCCCTTCTACTATCTTAGCCCATCTGTCTTATCTGTCTCATACTATTTACACCCTTTTGCACTCTTTTGCTTTATCAATTTTTTTGCTTACCCCAATCGTTTTACCCATCTCTCTTACTTTATTCACAGTTTTCTTATAGCTACTAATTTTTTCCATACATTCTTAGAGAACTTTTGGGAATGGAAAGAGTATCTTTGTTTTAAAAACTAATCTAAAAATGAACATTTAACTTTGCCATATATAAAGATGAAAACACCCTTAATTCTACTACTAGCTGACCCATAACTAAAATTTTTTGGTTGTGGTGAAGGGTTGTTAACCCACAACATAAGAAGTCTCAACTTGGAAGTTGGAAATGACCCGAATCCGATATAACCATACCCCACCAAGCGTTTTGCTAGTTTTAACAGTATCCTATGCAAGATTAATATATGTGGATATGGATGACAACCTTTTTCCCTGTTTTTTTAACTATAATTTTTTATTTGGATTAATCTTTATTACTTGTTAAAGGTTGAATTTATTGCTTCATGCTTAAATGATTTGATTTTCTTAAAGAGGAATATAAGTTGTTTAGATATATGTATAAAGTCAATACAATTCGATCACTGCACTAGTTGTTAGCATTTTGGAAATAGAATTTATGAAGAATGAGCTCTCTTCATATTTGCTAGGTTTTGTGAAGGGAAAATGGTGATAGGAAACTCTAATGTCGAGGGGAAAACATTATATGCATGTGTCATATATTGTTCAAGCTATAGAAACTATCATACTTCATATTTTTTTTTTTTTTTTTTTTTTTTGTAACCAATTACGGAAACTCTTGTTAACCAGAAGCGAGTGAATGTAGAAAAAGATTAATAAAGCAAGAGAGATGGAGTAAAAGGTTGGTGGGCATAAAAAAAAAAGGTAAATTAACTAAAAGAGTGAAAAGGTGTAAATATTGTGGGATAAGGGGGATGAGATGTTAAGTTGTGTGCCAAAAATAGAATCAGGTAGAAGTGGTACATCAAATGAAAATATCTCAAAAAGGAATGTGGGTGCATCAATAAAATAACAGAGTGTATTAGAATATGAAGAGCAAATTGCATACATGTGTTTTGGTCAGAAGAATTTTCTGATTAGTTATAGTGCTGTCAACTGAACATATTGGTTTAGTTCTGGTTTTTTTGATTTGATGTCCATACTGGCTCTAATTATTTTTAATCTGATGCAATCATTACAAGTTTATGTGTGTAAGGATGAACAATACATTTTGTCTTTTTAGGTTGTACTGAACTTGTAATAACTTGTGAGGGTGTTTGAGTTGGATTGTGAGATCACACTTCATAATGGCAGATAGTTTTCAACTAGTTTTATTGAAGGCAAAGTAAATTGGAGCCGAAAAATATGTCTTCTATACCAGAAACCTGATTTATGGGATAGATTTGGAAATTAATACTAGTAATCTAAGGGCCTGTTCTGTTGAGCTTAATTTCAGTTTAGCTTAGCTCCAATCAGTTCAGTTCCTAATTTCCTTTTCCCATAAACAATTTATTTCAGTTCAGTTCAGCCCAATCAATTCAGTTGTTTTCAGTAAATCGGAAAGGCTAAGGGCCTGTTCTCATTGACTGAACTGAACTGAACTGAACTGATTAGAGCTGAACTGAACTGAACTTATTAGAGCTGAACTGAAATGAATATTTTATAAGAGAAAGAAATTAGGAGCTGAACTTAACTGAAGTGAACTTATTAGAGCTGAACTGAAATGAACTGAACTTATTAGAGCTGAACTGAACTGAACTGAAAATAATCGTATCAGAACAGGCCCTAAGTCTATCTAATATGAAATTATGAACTCTATATATAGATCAACATTTCGTGTATACATGAGGGTTCTTTTTTTTGGATCTATCTGGTATCTGAACAAAGGAAGAGGTTTATTTATTTGAATGTTTTTTCTTTGGGAATTCTTATGCTATTGTTTATGGTAATATATGTTAACTGGCATTTTCAAGTTTTACTCATGCTCACACTTCTAGATAGATGTAGATGATACTTATGTGACCCAGACTTTTCATTCACGTCAAGAACTCGTGTCAAATCCTTGAGACTCAGATATGAGTTGGAGTAGGACACTTTGACACTTCATTTTGGGCTGTTGATGTTTGCATAGGGCGTTCTAAGTAAATTACATACAAACTCATCACTATTTTTTTGATATATAATCTTGTGTATCAAGCATATAACATTTTTTAAAGAAAGATTAAGGTGTTAGGAATCAAAATTGACATTAAGGTCCAACATTACTCGGGTATGGATTTTATAAAATGGCTAGTCACAGAAAGGCAGCTATCTAGCCAAGAGCTGTGGTCAATCTGGCCATACCCATTATCAATACAATTTATACGAATATATTTCAGCTTTGTTTACATACTTAGTCATCCACTGCAAAGAACAAGTGATTTGGTTTCACATATATCATTTATATATGTAATTCTATTCCTTAGTCCTTTCTTTCTGGTAATTTTTTTTTCTTCTGGATGATGTGAGTCTTGTGATACTTACGAATCCCCACTCCCACAAATTTTCAGGTTCAGTGGCCCTTTTGTAGCAATGAAGTACAGTAATTGCATTGATGAATGGTCAACTGACGACTTTATGGTGCAACTTCAGCATTTTTGTGATGCATCAACCGCATTTATGCACTTTGTTATTCCATTGGAACTTATCTATTTCATCCGAATGTATAAAGTTTTTCCTAGCAAATTGGCAATCATTTATTTTGGAACTTTCTCCATTCTCTGTGGGGTAAGTTATTTGACTGACTTGTGGAGATACTCTCGGTACTATAAGTACTCAGAAACTTCTGCTTTGGTGATAAAGATTGTGCAAGTTTGTGCTGCTGTGGCATCATGGTTGACAGTTGTGGTTATGTATTTTGTGACACCAAAATTTTTAAGAATAAGAGAAAATGTACATCTTCTCGAGAACAGGGTTGATGATCTCAGTAGAAAAAAAAGCCTTCTGCTTCGTAAAGTAGCAACAAGAAGATCCATTGTAAACCTAATAGATGTTATTCGAAGCACCGTTTATGGGTACGACATTGTTGAGTCAACTCTTGTTGGGCTGGGAAAGATTTTCGACTTGGAGGAATGTTCATTTTGGTTTCCATCGCACACTAATAAAAGCCTGCAGCTTTCTCACTCTTTGAACCACGTATATTCTGTTGGTTCTGTTGTGCCTATGAACCTTCCTTTTGTTTCCAAAATCATTAATGCTGTTGGGGCCGTGAGGATACCGTACACCTGTCCCTTGGTGAGGGCAAATAAATGCACCAAGAGAGCCATGAAGTTTGAGGCTGTGGCCATAAGAGTACCTCTTTCATTCTCTGAATCGGATGACTCACTTAATGCTTGTGTGATGAGCTATGCAGTGATGGTTCTGGTTCTCCCTCCAGATAATATCAGGAAGTTCCGTAAGTATGAACTGGAACTTCTGGGAGCTGTTGTAAAACAGGTTGGTGATTATCTATGCTTCTCTTTTGTTTTGTGCTCGTTATCTTTTACTGTGAGTAGTAAGTAAAAATTTTGCAGTAGACAGCCTAGTTTCATAAGCAGTTTGTTGGTTCCAATTCTTTCAAATATCCATTCACTGATTCTTATTATAAACCATGGTACTGCAAGTCTTCACACATGTGAGATTGTATTTGGTCATGCTTTCATAAGTTCTACTCTAAGTGGTTTATCTATCTTATATTTGGGATCTATACAGAAACATGGTATTTTTGCAAGTTTTTCAGTGGTAATTGTTCTTTTACTTTGTAGAACTAGTTTTCCCTCTTCTGCAAACCTTGTTAGGCTGAGGCATGATACACCTAATACTTAGTTCTATTAAAATGATTTTTTTAAATAATGTGTTTATTATATGGTCAATATCGTTTCTTTCAACTCGTTATGTCTTTATTATTTCCGTGCTTTGTTTCATGCACTGTCAGCATTTCAATTGCCTACCCTGTGAGAAGACTGGTGAATGGGAAGTATATTGGTAATTAGACTTCTAAAAGACTCATTAGATACTATACGTGTGTCAGTTTATGTAATGATATTTTACCAGTAATAATTTTTAAGTCTAACCACTTTTTTGGTATGGTGATTCATTGTCAAACAAAATCATTGAACCGTATCCATTACCTACTGTTACCAGTCTTACCACCCATTTGTTACTCTTTTCAAACCCTATTGTAACAAAATGGTTACATTTCGTAATCCTTAATTTGATACAAAGGGACTTAGCTATATGAAACAACTAGTATGGTAACAGCCAACAATCTTAACATCATCCTTTCCCCTCTTGTATGTTTCATTCCTTACATGTTTTTCATTTCCCGAATTTATACCAAAACATGTGCTTAAACACAGTCCAGAGTCTCTCTGCTAGCTCACTAACACAATATACAGGCAACAATATTTGACTCTTTAAGTAGTAATAGCTACCCACCCTGTCAGGCTACCACGTTCTACGTTTTTCTATCTCCATCAAACAGTTCACGTTCCAGGCATCATGGCTTGTATGCTTACTGAATTTTGATCATTCTTGTGGATCCAGAAAAGCTGAAATTTGATCATAGGATTCCAATTTCTTGTGCTGTCTCAGGTATCAGTTGCACTTGGTCATGCTTCAACTATCGAAGATTCATTTATGGCAAGGTATCATCTTAAGGAGCAACTTTCTTGTAAGGAGGTGGGTTATGGGGCATCATGAAAGCTCTCCACAATCCTGATGATTATAAGACTGAAAATTTCAATCCAATGGAAATACCTCTGTGTGATGTGTCATCTTTTCTTCAAGATAATACATCTGTCATCTTTTTCTGTGGAAACACTGTTACAAAATGAGAAAGATGGTATGCTTGTTTTGAATATTAGGGCTTTCCACCTTTCGGAGGTCATAAAGCAGGTGTTCTATTAAAGCTGTGCATTTTGGATTTCAAGTTTACTGAATATCTACACCAGTGAAATGTAATGCAATTTTTTTTGTCTCAGGTTTTTAACGTCATAAGGTTGCAGCAGAAGTGAAAAAATTATCACTCTCTCTTGTTTTAGCCCCTGATTTGCCTGTCAAAGCTTTGGGGGACATAGAAAGGCTAATGCAAGTTATTCTGATTGTAATGGGTAATGCTGTGAAATTCACTAAGGAGGGTCATATATTAGTAAAAGCATCTGTGGTAAAACCCAACCCTCGTAGAGCCTGGCGGCCTTCTAAATTCCTTTTGGTATCAAGTGACACTCATTTTTACTTGAAAGTGCAGGTATTTATTTTTACTAGTCATGGATATGTGACATGGCATGTGTTGAGTTTACGTCTTGTTTGTCTAGTCTTTTTCTTTTTAGAAGCAGCTTTTATTATAGGAAGGTACATTATTTGCAAATCTGAACTCAGTCTAGAAACTTGAAAGGTCTTTTACATATCTAACTTATTAAGTGAAGGCTGAAGGACTTGAATATTCTATGCTAATATTGTATTTTACACAAAGTTAGAACATTCTTAGTCCTATGCTAACATATTTAAGCTGCAGGTTGAAGATTCTGGTTGTGGATCGACCCAAAAGATATACCAAGCCTGTTTGATCTTCCAAACACTTCTAATCGACATTCTAGTGTCTTACATGGGCTTCCCATTTGCAAATGGTACCATCTTTAAACTTTAATTTTTCTGCCATGACTTTTTTTGGGTTTAATTAAAGCACCTTGATGAGAGTTGCTGGGAGATTACATATTTACATGTCGCCATACTCATCGTTGTCATATGCTTCGTCTGATTCAAATAATTACTTGTACAACATTTTGACTTTTGTATTCATATACAAACTTCAAAAACTTTTGTACACATCCGGTTTACACTAATATTAGTGTACATCGAGCAGTATAGAGGTAACTTTAAGCCAATTTAGGGTAACTTTTTGTCTTTTTTGGGGTAACTTTATATGTATGATTTTTTTTATAAATCGAACAAGAAAATTTTTATAAGGGTGATAAAATTACTTTCAATCACTAATAATTGAATTTTTAGTCATTTAAAATGTGATTCTTTACCAATAAAAGGTAGATTATTTTTATTTGTATTGGGTTATTTTTATACATATTAGGGTAACTTTTATTCATTTTAGGGGTAACTTTTGATCACTTTAAGAGAGATTTAAAATGGATGTACAATAATTATTGTACACCCGATTTTTTTAAAAGTTTGTGTACAAACTTATTCCAGTATACCACTCATTTTAAAAGTTATCAATTAAAATCTTGAATTAGTATGAACTCATTATAACTTATTGCTAATAGATTATAAACAATATTAGTCATTAAAGTTGTATGTTGGCAAACATGTTAGTCAAAGTGTTGCAATTTCTAAAATTGGAGGAACGACCTCTTAAACTCTTAAAATCTTTTCTAACATAAACTATTGCTATGGTTATGGATTCAGGTTAGTCGATGCCATGGGTGGTGAGATATGGGTTGAGAGTGATGTTTAGGCAAAGGTTGCACGGCTACTATCATCGTGGCACTTGGAGTGTTTGATTCAGATTGATCATGCATGATCTTGGTCAAGAAGGCTGACAAAATGCTTAGAAACAGTCATATTGGTCACGAAAGGTTTAAGAACGTGATTAAGTGCTTACAAATACTACAAATAAATGGCTGGATGGCCATTTTTACAGCTTTAAATTATTCAGTGTTCAGATTTTTATCAAACCACATTATTTGTGGAATATTATTATAAATAAATGATTGAAACTCATCAATCCTTGGATTTTGTTTTTCTTGATTTATTTTTTTATTTTTAATAACCACAATGTTTTTAAAGGTTTGAATGTGAGAAACTACTATCAAGGCAGCAATAAATGATCAAAATTTGGAAAGATGAAAACAAACAACAGATGATGAATTTTTGATGACGCCTTGCCTAATAAAAACGAGTTTAATCCACGTAAATTTAGCTGCAACTTTTTTCATACTTTTCTAAATTAATAAAAAAATAATCATCTACTCCGTACCACCTTGATTCTTTTGGCATTATATTCAAATACATTCCATTTACCCTACATTTTTCCCACTTACCTCTACAACTCACCCTTGGAAACTCCTCTTTAACCAACTAACTACAGCCATCACTTTGATCGTGTTTTGATTGTTTCATTTCACCACACATGGCCATACCAACAACACCGCCTTTTTCAATCCACCATAGGCACGGCCTCCACCCATTTGACCTCTTGAAATCACCCTCCCAACACTTATCCCAACATTTTTTGCTATAAGCCCATCCACCCAAGGAAAGGAGTGTTATTGTCCTTGATGGTGTTGGTGCAAGTGAAAAAACGCCCTTCTTCTAAATTTCCCTAGTCTCCTTCCTCACTACCACACGTCCTCTACTACAACTATCGTCCGTCTCTGCAACCACCACTGTTACCATCTATCATACATCCAGCAAGATGCTACATCATCGACATCAAAATCCACCACCACCAACACTCGTCATCACATCCAAAACCATTGCGATAAGGCTTACATGGTCAAATTCATCCATAACGGCTCCACAGTTACCACTTGGAGATCGGGTAATTATGGGTTTTTGATGTGACATCTTACCGCCTACAATGATGGTAATTGGGTTGAGATAATGAAGCTAATCGTTACGAGATCTATTAAGGTTATGATGACTGGAGTGGTGACTAACAACTAGAAGTGTTGGCTTGTACATCTGGTAGCAGCCCCGGTTGTCAAGGTTTACGGCAAGGATGAACACCATGGCGGTAGTCAATATTGGTTCAAGGGTTTAGAGACCAGAGTAGGGTAAACACCATGGCAGTAGTCTATGACTTTTTAGTTACATTTGTCTTTCTGAATTACCACCACCAAACATCCCCTATTACTTTACATCACTTTTAATAATTTCAGAAATTATTGTAAACATCACTTTTAATAATTTCAGAAATTATTGTAATATGCCTTCTCAGTAAAAAAACAGATGTAAATATTATAGAAGACCTACTCTAAAGTTAAAATTCTACAACTACACAGCAAGCCATAATCATAGATCTGCAGTTTACTTTCATCACAGGATTTAGCTTTGACAAAAGTATTGCTTGTATAGTCGCACTATATTTTGCATAGGGTATAGTTACAGCCATATGGATTTCCCTGAGATTTACCAGTTACTACGTATATAGCAATAGAAACGACGCTCCAAATCATATACCCTGAACAGCTGATAACATGAAACCAATTTAAGATGTGAAAAGAAAGTAATACATTTCAACCTGAGTATCAGGATTATCAAGCAACTCTATCTCAGTCATAACATAACAAGATCCACAAAACATATTAGCTGCAAAAAAAGATACTATGCTAACAAAATAACAAGGTCCACAGACCACCCTAAGTTTCCTCATCAGGTCTTGAAACTATCACTTCACTTCTTTGCTTTCTTGGCCCTGTAAAACATTAGGTCTCGAGTTAGATAATCTAACATAAATTGGAAACAAATTGTTAGTACAATTACAGAAACTCTTGAAAACATATTGCAACAATCAACTTACTGTGTTGGCTTAGGAGCAGCTGCTGGAGCGGCAGCAGCTTCAGGTTGTTTGGGTGCTTCAGCATTTGGTCCCTGAAAAAACGAACACCATAAATTATAAACTAGCAAGAAATCTCAAATAAGTTGCATAAAATTCTTATCAGATATAAGAGTGTATTTTGCATATGAATTTACCAGAGCCAAACGCTCCTCTCTTCGGGCCAACTTCCTCTCCCTGCTAGCCTTGTTCTTGGCACGCTTAGCCTCAAATTGGTCAGACAAGGTCTTGTCTCTTGCCTTCTCAGCCTTGGTCTTGTGGATGCTTTCCATCAATACACGCTTGTTTTTGAACACATTACCCTTCACCTTCATGTACATGTCATGGTACATGTGCTTGTCAATTTTCTTTGACTCTCGGTACTTACGGAGCAACCTCCTGAGAACTCTCAACCTCCTCATCCACAAAATCTTGGTTGGAAGCCTTGCCTCCCTGGTACCCTTACGCTTACCTAAAATGAACCAAAATCACGCTTAACATCACATAGTTAAATAGTATCATCACCTTTAGCTCAATTATCAACTAAATGGTTCTCATTCTTTCAAATGCCAACAGGGCAGACACACTTGACCGATAAGATCACAAGATATGTCGAATGCTTCTCAAGTGATCACGGTTTCACTTCTGATTCCTGTAACTAATCTACTTATTGAGAGGAACTTTAATACTCATTATACACACCAACAAACTTTAACAGCAGAAAATTTGACAAAAACACTATCCAGGTTGATGATATGCATACCGTGTCCTGAGTGACGACCCTTCCTCTTTGCCTCCATCATACGACGAGCACGAGACCTTGAATGAATCTTGGTAGGCTTCCTGATAATGAAACCATCCTTAACCAACTTTCTGATGTTTTGACCTGAACAAATCAATCAAACATAAATACCTATTCAGCCACATCTAACAACAAACAAAACCATATAAAAAAATCAAACAGCAAAAAATCTTCAATTGCATAATAAAAGCCATATCAATGCCAATTAATTTCGCAAAATAATTACTAGCATAGAGCAGTATAAATTGCATAATAAGACATATATAACTTCAATTGATAAAACTAGATACCTCCTTCAAACTAAAAACCAATTTACGCAGAAAATTCGTCATTTGCAAAGCTCATATGTTCAAATTTCAAGTTCTAGATTAGAAACTGTAACAATTAAGCACTAACAAAATCGATCAATAAATTTAATAAAGTAATTATAATCTCATCATAAAACTTCCTACAATTCGATCGAAGATACATCAAAAGATCACCATTTTCCAGAAAAAATCACATAAAAAGCGCTAAATATAACCATTGCAACAATTTCTAGGGTTCTAATTCAGATAATCATCAAAAAATTACAAAATCTAACAATCGATTGAAAAGAAAAAAACGAAAAGCAATCGAAATCAAAGGATAAAGAGAGAGAAGGAACGTACGAGAGTTAGCCATGGAAATTTCATTGCCTTCATTAGGATCAAGCCAAACCTTGCCACGACCGCACTTGAGGATATCAGCGGCGAGCCGCTTTTGAAGCTTCAAAGACACCATTGTTGTTGCTGCGAGTTTCTCTCTCCTCTCACTCTCTCTGTGGTGGGAGCTGCTAGAAGATGGGAAATGGAGGAAGTGGAGGCTTAAATATCACCAGTTTTTAGAGCTAGGGTTTGGGGATTAGGGGTTTACCCATTTTCTTTATTTATTGGGTTTTTGGGTTGGGCTTTTTTTTATGGCTTTGTTTAAATATTGATTGGATTGATTCGTTCAGTTTTTTTTCATTAGAGGTCCTATGGTTTCTAAAATATGGGGTCCAATTCTTGTAATATCTACCTCATGTATTTAGGGTCAACTTTTATCTCTACTAGGGGAGCCTAAGCATAATCGATGTTTATGGTCGAGTTGTAATAGCTTGTCATAACACACTAAACTTATTGGGTAGGCTTTTGAACGCATATACATGAAATAAATTGTTTGATAATCATACCCTTGCATAGGTACAAAAATGTAACACTTGAAAATATATAAACACTATTCACTTTTTAGTTGTAAGTTTTTTATGGTGTAATATGACTTTTGTTGTGAGTTATAAAATACAATTATATATCATCCGTCACTTTTAGTTGCAACACTTGAAAATATATGCATTTTTCATTTTTTTTAATAATTGATCTTTATTTTTATTGACTTTTTTTGTTGCACAAAATAGTCATGTGGGATCGTATTAGATTCAACATTTCGATTTATATATGTGTTTTCAATATTTAATCTTTAGATTATTTATATGTCTATAATTAGAGATACAAGAGATTGAAATTATGTATTGACAAGCGTGAAAGTTAAAATGTTACAACTAAAAATTTAACGAAAAAACATTCAAAAGAAAAATGTCTAATTAGATGATTAGGTAATTAAATTCAGTGGGTTTGTGTGTGTGTGTGTGTTTGTTTGTTTTAAAGAAAATAGTAACAAAGTGGGTTATATCCGGACTATTTCCCCACCCTTTGAAGAGGATTATTTTCACATTAAATAGTTTTGCCATTAAATTCAACAATTTTCTCCTCCTCCTTCTCCTTTTCCTCTTCCTCTTCTTCATGTGGCTTAACTCGGTAGGTGCTTTAATGGAGGCTCATTTGCTTTAATGAAGGAGAGAAAGAGAGTAGGGAAGTACATTGAGGAAGGAGAGAGAAAGGGGGTTTAAAAGAGAGGAAAATGTTGAAAGTTGGAAGGGAAGAAAGACTAAAGAAACATAGAGAAATAAATACGGAAGCATAAGAGTTAATATGACATAAAAGGTATATGGGTAAATAAGCAATTTTAAGGGTAAAAAAGTCATCACACTATTCATAAGAGTTCTTTTGTACTTTTTTATGAGATTTGGGTTCTTAACAAATGGTCTCTCTAGTCCTCTACCCTTTTTAAAAAGTACAATTTGACCGGCATAAAGTTTTAGGTGGGTGAGTTAAATAGAAAAGTAGAAATAGGAACCACGAGCCTGTTCTGATTTACTGAATTGAGCTTAACTTAATTGAACTGAACTGGGCCGAGCTGAACTGAACTGAACTGGGCTGGACTGAATATTTTATGAGAGAAGGAAATTAGGAACTGAATTGAACTGAAAATAAGCTGAAGAGAACAGGTCCCACGTAATGAGATGGATACCATTAAAAAAAAATTAAAACAAGATGTTCAAAAAAGAAGTGATGAAGGACTTAAAACACCATGACAACATTCCCCTATACTAGTTGCCTAGTGCAGCTTCCCCCCTCCCAACAGTTAAATATACTAGACAATTTTTTTTTTCAAAAAAAAAAAACAAATAATACAATTAGCTAGTCAAGAGATATACAAAGTATAATGAACAAGTTAATAAAATCTACAATCTACTCTAAGGCAATTAGTTTATAATAACTATTTATTCGATAATTACAAAACAACTATTAAAATCAGATATTCAAAACATCTAATAATGCAACTAGTTTGTAAAATCGGCTAATACTAGGGGTGAGCATAACAGGATACCCTGAAAAATTCCAGGAACCGGAACCGGAACCTGTTGCAACAGGTTCCTCAAAATGAGAACCGGAACCGGAACCTGTTGAACAGGTTCCTGGAAATTGGGAACCGGACCGGTTCCGATTCAGGGTACCCTGTATTAATATATATATTTTTATAATTGTAATTTTGATATTTATTATTTAAAAATTAGTAAGAATTAGTGTATAATTTGAAATTAAGTGATACTTTTATCAGGTACAGGGTACCCTACAGGTTCCAATTCCAAAAAATTGAGAACCGGAACCTATTACAACAGGTTCTCCAGTTTGCTACCCGGAACCGGAACCTCTTGTACAGGTTATGGTTCTGAAACCTGCGGTTCCTAACAGATTTCGGTTCCGATTCAAGATACCTGATTTTTTGCTCACCCCTAGCTAATACAACCCGCAACACTTAATATAACGAGTTATTTACTAATTACAAAATAGGGTATTTGAGATATGATCATATGTGGTCAATGAGGGTACGTAGGATAATGACGGGAGACTGGTAAGTGAAGTAAGTGTAAAACAAATATATTTTTTTACCCGATACGAGTTGGGAATATGATTAGGATCAAAGTAAATTAAAGTAAATATACTCCAACCCTCTCCTATCTTACTTTTTCATTAATATGTAAGTGTGTTTTTGTATTTTTATTTCTTACGAAGTAAATATTTTCTGACATCACAACCATGTCAAAGATCAAAATTTAAAAGAATAATGAAAAGGAAGCAGGTCAACTTTGTTTAATTATCGAATTGGGCATGGTTAATTATTAATACTAATTGTTAAGTATCAATGCAAAGTCAAATTGATTTTAGGCAAATTCAGTATCAGTCACTCAAGTCTAGTTAATTTTTAATTATTGCTTTGCATCATTTTAAAGTTTATAATGAGTCATAAATTTCAAGTCAAAGCTAATCAGATTTCAGGTGAATTAATTTTATCAAATTAACTTTCAAATAATTCTCTGCATTTTCTCTCAAAACCAACAATTAGTGGATCAGAGTACTCGGTTAGTCCATCATAATTAAACTAATAATATCAATAATATATTCCATATGTAATACTTATACAAACTTAATACATAATTATTTTTGATAAACTACAAACATTATACTATATTCATACCATAATCAAAGGTATGGTTACACTACGTTTGCCATCAGTCCAAGTGACTGAACTAGAAGTTTGTTCATTTAGCGTGATTCCTTGATCTTTCACTGCCGAAATTGTAACAGAAAAACTTTGCTTATCCCAAATCTTCTTGAAACTTAATTCAGGAGGATTAACAGTCACATTAAATCCTGCAGGACTCGAAACTTTCGCGGTATACGTTGATGCAGTAGCGTTCACACTTGTTAAAGTCCTGTTAAACACTTTACCTTCAACATCAGATGGCACAACCAAGGCAGGGTAGTTCAAGTCCCACTCCTTAACCATCGATTTTTCATCGCAGATAATTGATTTTTTCACAATGATCTTCATTTCAGTCGCATTGTACCCTGAAGCACATAGATTTTGAATGAAATCATCCTCACTGATATCATACACTAGCCCGGGATCATTCGCCTTTTCGGGGTTCACATGTCCTGCACCAGTAGCCCAATAAGAAGACGCCTGATCTTGATTTTGAGCCATCTTGCTCATCTCATGGTAACCAATATACGCCGTGGTCATCAAGGCGGACTTGATCATAGCCGGGTTCCAATCAGGGTGAGCACTCTTGAGCAAGGCGGCTAAACCCGAGACATGAGGGCAAGACATAGACGTGCCTGACGCGATATTATACTGAGTAACCCTTTGGTCCTCTTCCAACCTAGAAGGCGGTACGCCTTCAGGCCAGGCAGCCAGTATATCAACCCCTGGCGCGATCACGTCAGGCTTTAGTACATACTTAGACACATTATTTGGTCCTCGAGACGAAAACGAGGCAACCACCGGAGCCGGTTTTTCGCCTATTTGTGTCCCTCGACACACAATGGTCCCTTCTTTCACCTTCTTCTTACTGATATCATCCAAAAGTTTTGTAGTTGCTCCAATAGGTATGGTTAATCCGGGTATCGTATACGGGTCGCTTTTTTGTGTATCGTTTTCGCCTAATGTAGGATCATTTAGAGCTACAATAACTCCCACTCCACCAGCTTTACCCACAACCACCCCTTTCTCAACTTTGTTGATTAGCCCTGGTGAGCAAATTACGATTTTACCCTTTACGTCAACACTGTCTAATGACCCCGGCATACATTGTTCCATAGAATAATCAGATGTAAAATGTACCAAAGGGTATGTTTTATTCTTTGGTAGTGGATCCCCTGTGTAGAGAGAGCTGCCTGAAAGAACATCACCATTGTCAAGGATGACATCAGCAGGGAATGTTCTATCGATGGTGCTAGCCCCGACGGAGATGTACCACGGGGCGGAAGCCGAAATTTGTCCAGGTAAAGGTCCACTATTTCCAGCTGCAACTGAGACAAACACCCCCTTTTGAAATGCACCAAATGCGCCTATTGCAATAGGGTCTGTGGTGTAATCACGTGACGCGACGGGGCCTAAGGAGAGGGAGATGACATCCACGTCGTCCTCCACGGCTTTATCCATGGCAGCTAGTACGTCCGACCCAGTGCACCCGAACGTCCAACACGTCTTGTAGATGGATAGCCTTGCCATGGGAGCTATCCCCGTGGCTTGGCCTTCTGCGTACCCAATGAAGGAGACATTTTTGGAACTCGTACGGCCTGCAATTGTGGAGGCCGTATGAGTCCCATGCCCAAAATCGTCTCGAGCTGATAAAGGATCGCCTTTACGTGCTGCACTATTGAAATATCGTACGCCAACAAGTTTTTTGTTACATAGGGAAGATGGGAAGTCCACCCCTCCATCACATACACCCTTGAAGCGATCTGGTACCTTGTCCATCCCTTTGTCGTCAAAGCTCGGGTGCTCGGGCTTGATACCCGTGTCAATGACTCCAACCACGACGTTAGACCCCAAGTTGGAGTCCTTTAGCAACCCTAGCGGGTATGGTACGAGTCAAGGCCAAGGAAGTGAGGTGATCTTGTTATTTGAGGTTGGTAGACTATGTCTGGAATGATAGAAATGACTTCAACTTGAGCTCTTAATGAGTCGGCATGCTCGGCCCTAAGCCGGGCCGAGAAGCCATGGAAAACGGTGTTGTAAACATGAAGCAAGGAATCACTGGGATTAGAATTGATTCTACTAAGAATGGACTTGTACCAATCCTCAACATTGGAAAATGTATTGGGTTTTAAGTTGTTTTGGATACTAATAATGTAAATTTGTTTATCTTGGTTACTACTATGAAGATTATGGTTTTGTACTGCCGAGGTGTAACGTAAGGAAAGAAAGAGTGTAAGAAAGATAATTGAAAAAATGTGAGACATTGTAAAATTTTGGGTTTGAGAGGATAAGATCATATGTGATGTTTTCATGCATTTATATACTACTACGAAGAGTTTAAGAAAATTAATCAACGTCAATAGAATTAATTTAAAGTTAATTAAAATTAGAGTGTGTAATGACTCCACCACATTTCCGCATGAGAATATGGGAGGATTTTACAAGCTAGTTACATAAAAGGAAATCCTTGCTTGATTAAAAAAGGCAATTATTGTTCCATTGATATTTGAAGGTAGATGAATAATGTGAATATTTTATACATTATGATCATATTTGAATAGAATTAATGGGTTGATGCGCAAAATGTATTATCAATTGGTTTTACTGGGTATCGTGTCATGGGATAGTAGTTTGTGAGTGCAAATAATGGCTCAATTTACTTAAATTGTGGAATTGAGACAAATAGTTGCACAATGATCAGATGGCATCATTACATAAATGTTGAATGGAGTTTGTTGTAGTTGTTAATTTTGTGGAATGACAAACAGCACTCTTACCATGTTTGTTGCACGAAGAACTAGTATCTTAAGATTCTTTACCACCTTCTTCTTCACGTTTCTCCACTAGTGACTAGTCCACTTCCCCTGCTATGCTTTCTCTATTGCAATTGTTTACTTGAGAAAGTAACTACGAAGTATTTTTTTATTTTATTTTTTTAAACAATAAAATACGGGAGAGGGCCTCCCCACCTTATTATATGAATAGGGGGCTGTGAGGAGTCGAACCCCCATCAAGAATCATCTCTCCATCTCCTCACTCCTCAACTACGAAGTATATAGAAGTAGCTGCAAAGCTACATCAACAATCAATGTGAAAAAAAAAAAAAACTTTATACGAGTAATTACAATGGATTATTTAAAAGACTCGTAAAAAAATTACTAGTTTTGTTGGTGTGGATGATGTATTAGGGAAGGAACCTACATTATCACACATGTTAAGTAGGTTTGTAAACAAGTTTTCATCATATTAGATCGACCGGGAAAAAAAAGTTTGATAGAATCAAAATAAATTAAAGGTGAATAATCTTTCACAATGAGAAGTTAGGGCAATCCGGCAATGCGATACTTTCGAACAAATTAGTATAATATGTTAGACTTGTATATATAATTGATTCATATATGTAGGTTCACCTGCATTTGACTGATCCTAATAAATATTATTGTCAAAACTATAGTTGGATATGGGCCAAAGGCCCAAAGCAGCATAAGGGTCAGTCATACATGCCATGAAAATGGTCTAATTGGGGCACAAGCTAGCTAGCTTAGCAAGGCATGAGGAGCACTTCAGTGAGCCATATCATGAACCTTACATGTACATAATCTTTAGGGGCCGTTTGGTTCGCAAAGGGAAAAGATAATGATTAAAAGAAAGGGAAATAGTGGGAATGGAAAGCAATTCCCTCATTTATTATAGGTTTTTTGTTTACTTCAAAAGAATGGAATGAAATTTGAAAATAATTGCACAGCCAACAAGGGCAACAACCAACTCCGATCCCACCTCCGACCCCCTGCGGTGCAGAGCTCGCCCACGGCCCCACCCCCCTTCATTGGCCCCCAACCTCTCTTCCGGCGACGCTACTCCCCTTTCCCTGCAACACCGCCACCCCTCCCTCATCTACCGCCAGTCCGCCACACCAACTCCATGGGTAAAGGTGGATTTCATCCCTCTCTCTTTTTATAGGTAATATTTTGGTAGATCTAGAAGGTTGTATGTTTTTAGAGTGTTATGTGTTGTTTTTTTGGGTAATTGGAGGTTGTTTATGGGGTGGTTATGGTTTCTTATTGAGATGGTTAGGGTTTTTTGGTGGTTTTTGTGTGTGGGTGTGATGATTTTCGTGGGTAATTGGTAGTGAATGTGGTGGTTGAGGGTTTTTCGAGTGAAGTTGGGTAGTTTGGGGGAAGATTGTATTTTTTCCGATGGATTTGGGTAGTTTCGGTGGTGGCTGGGTGGTGGCGTCAACACGCCGACGGTTTTTTGGCGTCTGAGCGGTGATTTTGTAGGCGTATGGGGCGGTAGTTTCGGTGGTTAGGTGATAGTTGCGGTGGTTGGGCGGTGGTGTTGGTGGTCGGTTGGTGTTTTCAAGGGTGGTCAAGGTAGTTAGAAAGTTGGTCAAGGTAGTTGGCTGAAGAGGATTTTGGGGGTTTGAGTGATACTTTGGGGGGGGGGGGAGGGGAATGAGAGTAGAGGAAAATGGGGTAATGAGAGGGGTAAAGGGAATGATTGATTTTGTCTATCAAACATCAACAAAGGGATTCATGGTAGTTGATTCCCTTTCCCTTTGTTGAATACCCCCAACCAAACGGCTTAGTAATTTTGACACAAGCATAATAAGTTGACTCTGCTTGATTTAATATTGTGTCGAACCGTGTCATACATGTGAGCTCCCTTAAAAAAATATGTATATAAAGCGAGCCTACATGCATGCGTGCACGGTTTGACATGTGTGGACTGTACTACGTATAAACTCCATTTATTATAAAATATCGACACGAACCTAGCACATCACAACATTTTTTTGATTTGTTTTAGGTACAATTTGCTTGAACCTAACACAAAAATCTTATAACATGCATGGTCCATAGGCTTGCACAAGCACAACCCTACGGCCTCATCCAACTTTCAACCAAAACTTCTCCGAATACACAAATAACACATAGTCCATGCATGCTACTATGCTAGTGCTACACTTTGATTACTCGGAAATAATAATTTCATTAATCTATTCATCTTTGTTCTAGAACAAGGAGTCAAGGATTGAAGGTCAAAATGTAAACGATTGACTGTTTCTTAATTAAATTTGCCAATCAAAATGATTGACTTATTACTTTGTAGTAATATTGAACAAATTAAAGTTGAAAACAACAGTCAGAGGCTTATAACACAAGCTAGAACTGTGAGTCTGTGAGCGCCCACAAAGACGTAATTCCAAAACTATGAGCGCACCTGGGAACAGCACTTGCAACTTGCTTCGCCAATATGCAACCATGCATCGCATTCTACCAGGGGCGGAGCCATGTAGGAACAAGGGGGGACGGTTGTCCCCCCATTTTTTCCAAAAAAAAATTTAATTTATGTTAGCTTAAATAAATGCTGTAAATAAGAATAAATACCTTACATGTATACCTTATATAACAAAGACAACATTTGGTCTGGTGGTTGATGGGCTTGAGTAAAGCTTGTATTTCTCTTTGATCCTAGGTTCGATTCTTTACCCGATCATTTTTTTGTTTCTTTTTGCTATTTTTGGACTTTATTTTTTTTCATTTTATAGTTTATACAAAGTGCTCCTATTTAACTTCTTTTTCTTGTTTTTGGATTTTGCCATTTTTTTTTTTACTGGTTTTTAAATTTCATTATATAGTATGTAATTTATATATACAAAGTATTATAAGTCTTCAAACCTCTAATTACTCTCATTTAACTGTTTAATCAAGTATCGCCTTGTTGATAGTGATTACTAAT